ATTTTGTCTTCCAAGTCCACTCCATGAGTGACCAGAAAAACTTTGCCCAATTTGTCCGCTCCTGTGACGGCTTTTGCAGCTTCATCAGCAGCTTTGTTCCCTTGTGTGACTTTTGACACATCTGTTTTATGAGCTGCACACTTAGCTATCGCTCTCTCTTTAGGCTTCATCATAGCATGCAACAGTTTCATTATTTGCGCGTGATGTTGTATCGGAGAACCATCCGATTTCTTAAACCCTCGACCTTTCCACACTGCTCCAAACAAATGACATACACTATATGCATATGCAGAATCAGTATATATCGTCACTCGCTTTCCTTCTGCTAACAAACACGCTTCTGTAAGCCCCACAAGTTCAGCAAGTTGTGCGGACGCAGGTGTGGTATTACTTTCAGCCTTTTCAACAACAAAACCAGTTCCTTGGGCTTTAACTACCTTATAGCCAGCACACAATTGATCTCCCACACGATAACAAGACCCATCAGTCCAATACTCCAGGTCTGCCTCACATAATGGAAGGGCTTGCAAATCTGATCTAAGCCTCGAGTATTTCTCTGCTTCTTGAACACAATCATGTGGCTCACCATCCTCTGAAGTTGGCAAATTCTCGGCTGGATTCACCGTATCACACCTCACTAGGGTGACATCTTCCTGCTCTAAGAGCCTATGATAGTCTCTGAGCCTAGGCATAGTCAATGTATATTTTCCATAGTTCAGAAGATTTCTGAGACTATGATGGGTAAGAATTGTTACTGGGTAACCCATCGTAACAGATTATGCTTTGTCATACATTGAATATACTCCCACCATTGCTCTGTAGCACAGTGGTAGCCCTAGTTCTACTTCTGAATAGGCAGTAGGAAATAGGTTGAGGATTCGTCCCTGTACTTGTCGGCTGACAAAGAACTGGACATGCATATTTACCTCCAGTAGAAGTAGACACATATAGCAAGAAATTCTTAGAGTAGTCTGGTAGTGTGAGTGCTGGTGCCTCTTGTAACCTCTGTTTGATTGTTTAAAACGCTACAAGGCCTTCCTGTGTCCAGGAAAGATTGCTATGGAGTTGACCATTCCCAGTATCTTTAACCATAGCTCTCAGAGGTCCCGTCAAACTAGCATAGCCCTCAACCCAGGCTGAAGAATAACCAGCAATACCAAGAAATGTCATCATCTCTCTGATAGTTCTAAGCTTCGGAGCCTTACGAATAGCTTCCAATTGACTGTCAGAAATGCTTCTGTGTCCATGCGTTCTTTTCTGACCCAAATAAACGACCTTCTCCTGGCAATATTGCAACTTTTTCTGTGAAAATTTATGCCCCTTTTCTGCCAATATCTGTAGCAATTTAATTGAGTCTTTATGACGTTTCCTCATTCTGTGAACAGATAATTATATCATCCACGTACTGAATGACAGTGCTTTGCAATATCTGATCTATCCCTACCAAATCATCTGTCAGTACTTTATTGAACATGTGAGGACTATGTTTGAACCCTTGTGGCAATCTCCTGTACTCATAGAACTGTCCATTATGTGTGAACCCAAATAAACCCTGACTTTCTACAGTAAGTGGAACACTAAAACATGCACCACATAAGTCTAACACCGTGAAATGTGTCGCATCAGGAGGAATTTTGGCTAACAAGGTATGCGGGTCTGGCACTTCTGCTGGAAAATCAGTTACTACTTCATTCACTGCTTTCAAATCATGAACCATACGATAAGTCTCATCTGGTTTCTTCACAGGCAACAAAGGCGTGTTACTCTGAGGATTTTTTATTGTCTTCAAAACACCTGCTTTCGAAAGTCCTTCAATTTGTGGTTCGATCCCTTGGATTGCTTCATCTTTCAATGGATACTGATTCTTCCAAGGAGGTCTGGCTCCTGGTCGAAGTTCAACTTTCACCGGTTGGGCTGATTTCACAAGTCCAATATCGGTACTGTGTTGAGACCACAAACATTCTGGAACTTGTTGCAACATCTCCTCTTTCATAGGGTCTGAATCCATCTTCGCACTGCAAATAGATTCATGTGTCATCCGTACAGCTTGTGGCTGTCCTTGTCCTTGAGCCGAAATCATGATTTTGAGAAATCGCTGATCTTCACTCCTCCAAATGGCCAAATTCTCTTTCATCGGTACCAAAACAGCTTTCTCTGCTTCTGTCATCATTTCTCCTATTTGCTTCTGCTCATAGCCTTCAGAAACCAACAAGGTCACATGTGGCACACTCTTCTCAATCTCAAATTCTTTATCCAGATAATCGTCTGTGTTAATCTTCATAGATGCTCCTTGTGGTCCTAAAATTATGCAACATGAGCTGAGTTGAACTTTCTTTGGTTGATGACTCAACCATTCCTCTGAGTTCGATTGGGCAGCATTCTTGAAATACTTGAGCGTACAATGAAATGGATATTCCGGAAGCCTCGCATCTGGCACGTTTGCCACAATAGATTTCTCCCATATCTTAGCCGGCTTCAAAAAATCTGCACTGAGATTTCCAATCCCAAATACTGAAGAAGAGTCAATCTCTGTCGTCATCAACAATTGGTAAACCGTTTCTTTTGGCACTTCTACCAGACAGCCGTCTGGCGTACATTTTATTGTACAATTCAATCTACACAATGCATCTCTTCCCAACAATGCAATAGGTGTATATTCCAATACCAGTATGGGTATTGTAGTTTTCTGATTTTTATAGCAGAGCTCAATTGGTTCAGTAAGAGGAATCAGCTGTTTCACTCCCTCAAAACCGATTGTCCGAATCAGTTGATTGGACATTGGGAGATGTGTAGCATCTTCAGGCCGAACACAGGTGAAAGCAGCTCCGCTATCCGCCATCACTTCCAATGGACGGTTGTTTACTTTCACCTCAATTGTTGGATCTTTTTCCGGTCCTGATGCTACCAGCTGACACCCCCCTTTCGGATCTTCTGGGCACCTCTAGAATCCTGGCTCCGGGCCCCTATAAGGGTTCACCGGTCCTCCAAATGATCTTGACTGGCCCCTGTATCTTCCTCTGAAATTCCCTCTGGTGTTTCCTCCTGGCCCATTACACTCACGGGCAAAGTGACCAACCTGTCCACAATTATAACACACTTCTGAAGATTGCTGGAAGTATGGATTAAATCTTCCTCCTCTTCCTAAGCCTTCTCGTCCTCTTCCTCTCCAATTCTGTGTCTGTCCGGAAACTGGCTGTGGATATGAAACAACTGGTCTTACTAGTGGTGTCTGGGACAATTGCGGTTGGACCTGGTTCGGTTGAAGCTGTGGCAGTGATTGTTGATTTGGTGAACACTGATTCTGCATAACCAAAGCTTGTTTCTTCTCCTTCTTATTCTCAACCAGCTGTATTTGATTTAGTTTTCTGACAGTTTCTTGGTCCTGTTCTTTCTGGTTGTGTTCCTTTTTCCTGTATAGATCCACTTGATGGGCTATATGATCTGTATAGATACCTTTTGCCATGCTTCCAAGTCCAACCACCTCTGCCAGTTTGCTCCTTACTGGTGAGGGCAGTCCCATCTGCAGTTTGGCTCGCAAAATTGACTGCTATATTTGACTCACATCTGGATCATTTCCAGTAATATTTCTCCACACTTGATGAGCTCTTGACACATAGGCTCTCGGATTTTCTTGTTGTCCTAGTGGGTCAATCAGAATGTTGTCAGGATGCATATTTGTTGGAAACGTAACTTTCAGTGCTCTCCACAGTCAATTTCTACATGCAGCTAACAACTCAGGATCATTCACCGCAGTCCCCACATATCGATTAAGTCCAGCTCTCTGAAAAATGTCTTCCATACCTGGAATCCCAAGGAGATTAGCCAAAAGTCTCTTAATGTCTCCTATGGCAGACTGTGTTCCCACCGTAATTTCTTCCAACTTTGAAATCCAAGGATGTGCTCCATCTTGAAGAATAGGCAGCTTCTCAAGGTATATCTGACATATCGGTATTCTGCAAAGGCTTATACTCCAGGTTCTGTCCTCGGATTATCACTGGCATCTTCTTACTTGTGCTCCCTTTTCTTGGGATCCTTTTTTCAGCAGTTTTTCCTTCTGTATCTTCAGCTTCTCGAGTTGTTCTTCCAATTCTCTTACTTCTAAATTATTCGACTTATCCAAGCATGATATGCATCGATCCATATCTCTTTCTATTTCTTCTGTGCTAGTCATTGTAGGATAAAATCCTCTTGAACGTGAAGCACCTTTAATCTCCATCGCTGTCTCCATCTTCACTTTCATCAGAGGTCGGATCTCTTGTATCCTTCTTCCAACACCCAGTCTTTCCGCTCTGGCCAACCTCCGTCTGATCACAGGGTCATATCCACCCATGATCTCTTCTGAATCACTCTGATCATCATCATCTTCAAATTCCATCCTCCTGAACCTCACTCTACCCTTAGTTTCCAGACGTGTCGTTTTCTTCTTACTTTTGGATTAATCTTTAGGGTCGTTTCTGCTTGTCCTCACTCTATTATTCATTCATCTTCATCTCTGATGCAATAATGACCCTCCTGATCACTGGAAGCTGAGGATAGATGTCCTTAAACTCTACTTCTTCCTCGTAAGGTGTGGGTCTTTTTGCTGAATCCGTATGTGAGAAAGGTGTATTGACTTCTGCCATTCTTTTTTCTGTTACCTTCGCCTCTTTTGCCATTTTCTCTATACCTCTGTCTCTTTTGTATTTTTTATCAGTTTGTCCCTCATTTTCAAACAACTTTAGAACACCCAGCTCTTTCTCTTTTCTTTACGTTTTTCCCCCTTTTTTGATCTGCTTTATACAGTTCAATTCACTTTAGGGGAAGCTTATCTATGGAGCGTGCCTCCTTGTTAACAGTCATGTTTAATAACCCATGAGACAAAGTAACGTGTACACCAGTTTTATTGACAAACCACAAAATCATTACACAACATTTATGACTAACAAAATAATCTCCAAAGTATTTGATTTAATCATAAAAAGTTATCCGGGAGCACACATAGGGCAATACATTTCCACATTCTAGATCTTTCCAGCCGTGTTCACCTTCAGAGGAAACACGGGACAGAAATTAACACCGATGTAAACAGAATAGTGTGAGATTTGTTAAATGGACTATGAATAAAGTTGAACGTGATAGTGAATGATAGTGGGCTTACTGTACCTCCAAAGTTCATCACAATACATGGCTCTCTGCCACCATTGTTGTTGGGCTCTCCTTGATTCCAGTTCTGGTAATCAAAGTCAGCTCCATCACTCCAGAACCATAGCCTGTCCTGTGGGGAAGTAGTGAGGTCTCAGAATGAAAGAAATCCCACTGTGTTAATGGATACGGATCCATCTACGCCCTTAGAAAATGGGTTTCCAAAAGGGCTCCGTGGCTGTCCCCATAGCAGAACCCTTTATGGATCCAGGTAGAAAGTGTTATTCAAAAGGTTTCTCCTATGGGGACAGCCGAAGAACTGTTTTTGGTTCTAGACACTATACCCAGTGTGTTAGTGAATACTGATCTTTCCTACAATACTACCCCACTATGTGTTTATGGACACTGCAGTGGCATCAATCAATAACTCCCAACCAAACTTACTGCGGTAGAGCACTTTTCAACCAAAACAATGGATTGACCTAACAGTTGTGCAATGTTGGTCAAATCTAATTCAGAACGTGTCACAGCTGAATGGACGCCGAAGCTGCTGCCATCATGCTGGCATTGTCACTAAACACAAATACTGCATTTATAGATGGTACATGGAATGTGCCCCTGGCTGTCCAGGAACACTTATTTAAATGATCTTTTGCTACTTAAGTCAATTTAAAATTCACCACTATCTCCAGCTCAACATGTGAAAACGCATCTACGTTTTTTACAAAAATATATATAAAGTTCAAACATTACCCGATGACATCAAAAGTTCAAGCCATGATTTTCAAACAGATACGGAGACATGGGGCGCAAGAAAATACTCTGGCTAGAAACTGTTTGTCACTTTTAATCCTACCCTGTGATGTCAAAGCTTTTTTTTTTTTTTTTAAACGACCCTTCTTAACCATAGAGCCCATAGTTCTCACATGACTCGTTTCAGGAAACTAGGCGTATGTCGCTGGTCACTTCTTCACAGGAGAGCAATTTGAACGTAAACTTATTGGCAGAAATACCTTCTGGAACACGAACTTAGATGTGCCTTAATAACAAACTAGAATGCAAATAAAAATAAAAGAGCCTAGTTGGTTTAGCCACAGAAAAAGACAGCAACATGCCTGCTAGCCATGATTGGCTGAGATAATGAGTGAGCTGGAGATGCCGAGAGGAGTTCAGATTGGTCTGCCATATAGCACGCTTCTGTCTATTTGAGCTGGTCAGTATGTGTAGGTAATCCTGTCTAATGAGACTTCTTTATATACGTAGTTCAACTACATAAGTGTTGCTCTCCACTTTCTTGAGGACAAAGTTTTAAAATCAGTGGAATTAGAGTATGATAGCTAAGGAGATGAGAAAACACCCATCTCCAGATTACATCTTCAAACTAAGGGCAACCATGGCATCCGTGACAGGATGCGTCAATCAATGTATACGGTTAAGATATGTAGCTAGCTACATTTTCAGATATGACACGTTACTAATTTTGACAAAGTCAATTTCATTTTAATTTGAAGTGTACTGTTAGCTACCTAGCTAGCAGTGAACCTGGTTGGTTAGCTACCTGCAGATTCATGCATGGTAGTAACATCATGAGTTGAGATTATGGTTCAATGTTTAAATTAGCTACATGTTTTAACAAGAGACTCCACTACGCATGTAACCATTTCAATAGACGGTCACTGCGACAGCTGAATAACATACAAAGGCGCAACACCCGTTGAATATGGCCGGTAAAAGTAAATGTCTGCAAAAAAAGTGTAAATTGTTGGCAGCACCATAGTTGCATTCACCAAGGTTCTGGATAACACGAAAACAGCAGAATGTTACTGGGTGACAGTCACTTGAGTCATTTTCTATTAAGGCATTAAATCGCTCTGAATTAAGTATGATAACTGGGTACCTTTCCCACCAGTCCCGGAATAGTATCAAATCCTCCAAGCCAGGTAGCAGTGAAACTGCCAGTCTTGGAAGACACCACATCCTGTAGAAATTGATTCTCCTCAGAGCTATGCACAGACGCCAGGTTTGCTCCAAGGGAAATACAATGCCGCTAGAGAAAGCAGTAGAAAGGGACAAACACATTTCATAATGATTAAAAGGGAAGTTCAGTATTTTACATGAGGCATGTGTTGCAAGTATAGAAAATATAACTTCTAAGGTAATGTCAAAGAAAATAGTTGATTTCAAGTAAACGTTATTTTGCTTATTTCACAGTAGATGGTAAGCATGATACCTCTGCTTCAGGCCAGTTCCTTGCAGTCTTGACAAACATGAAGCAGCGTGATCCATAGTAGGCCCAACCGGAGGGACACAAGCGGATTCCTGATGAAACTGTAAAGAGAAGTTGCAGCCGGCTTTAAAGGCTAGTCGAGACGGCTCTACAAATCACAACTACAATATTATTAGTAGGTCAATCAGTCACCTCTGCTACAACAAAACAAATACAGAATGAATCATGTAAAGTTGACTCATACTTGCGTCTCCCAGAGCAAAGGCAGCACTGAGAAGCAGAAGAACGGTCAACATGGCCATGGTGAGTCTCCTGAGAGAGAAGCCATGAACACAAATTCAGTGAGTCCTTCAGAGTGTAGGGGAGTGCAGTGTTCCCCTAACCTCACCAAGGTCCACTCATCAGATGTGTTCAGTACGATCACATCAGATTCAACTAATGAAGGGCTAAGGAATACCAGGCATCTTGATCCACATACAGTAGATTACCACAGGAATATGTCTGCTTTCCAAAATGGCACCCTATTCCCTATGCAGTGATGAGAATTTCTGGGGTGTTGGGGGGGGGTATTTCTCTCCACTCATACAGAAGTAATTAAGGCCTAGTTCACAAATTGAGGAATTCCCTGCAGCTATGTTATTGTCACTACGACGCATCTGTCAGAATGCAGGAACTATGGTTGAAGACAAACTTCAATACTGTTTTGTTTTATAATTATCCAACTAAAAATAAAGGCACAGAACAAACGGCCGGCAGGTAAGGCCTCGATAGCTGATAGCTGTTGTGTTCCTGGAGGGAATACACCACATTAACATACATGATTGACCAGTGCCATAACTAATAACAGCAGTATCTCAAGTAGGCTACGACAGCCCAACATTATACCTTTTTATTAACTAATGAAGCAAGGTTTAAGGGCATTCCATAGCAACAGTTTGCGAGATGACGAATGGTTCAATGAGGTACCTGCTAGCAGCATATGTCCCACCTCTGAAGCTACATCCATAATCCGCTAGATGGTTCTGATAGCGACGCAAACTGTGATCTAACCAGTGATCAATAAATCATTAAATCTAGTTCAGCCACAACCTCTGCCTTCATACATGTTTCCTCCACTTCCAGTCTGGGGCAGAACGGTGCCCATTTTGGGAGGCAGATTAGCTAGACAGACAGACGTGCACACAAACTGATCACAACATGACATCCATTTTAGAATGTTTTGGGGGAGGGGGTGAAATGTAAATTCCAGATTTCATAGTTTCTTGTTCACCAGGTATCTTCCTCCACATACAGTCACTCTACTTACATTCAGTAATCTTGCTCTGATTTGTCATCCTAATGGGACCTTGAGATAAAATGTAGCATTCTTTTGTTTGATAAAATCAATTTTTATATTAAAATGTAGGAACTGGGTTCTACAGTTTGAACCCCTGCTGTCTCTGGCTCCACACCCACCCCGCCCGGCCATCTAGATGTGTGAAAGTTAGTGTATAAGCTAATGATCCATCATGTATGACAATCCTGGAAGTGTGTAAACTTACATTTTGTATTACCATATCATTTTTGTATTTTCTCTATAGTTATGTACTTGAAAATGTATCAATCGACCAATTTGGCACATTTGGGCATACTTGAAACAAAATAGTCCAGTTCTGCAATGCTTCACTGGATCAATCTGAAACGTTGCACACACACTGCTTCCATCTAGTGGCCAACATCTAGATTACGCCTAAACTGCAATATTATATTGTGGCCTTTCTATTACATTTCAAAGATAGAAAACACATGCTTTTTTGTTTGTATTATCTTTTACCAGATCTAATGTGTTATATTCTTCTACATTAATTTCACATTTCCACAAAGTGTTTCCTTTCAAATGGCATCAAAGATATGCATATCCTTGCTCCAGGTCCTGAGCTAGAGGCAGTTAGATTTGGTTATGTCATTTTAGGCGAAAATTGAAAAAAAGGGTCCCATCCTTAAGAGGTTAACTCTACCCACATGTACATGTTACCTCAATTTCCTCGACCAACCTGTGCCCCGGCACATTAACTCTACCGGTACCCCCCCTGTATATAGCCTCCCTACTGTTATTTTATTTAAAAATGTGGTGCCCACCACAACCCTAGGAAGGAATATCAATATTTTAAATTAACCCTTTAAATTAACTCTTTAAGACAACAAAATATTTTGCTACAATGGTACAACAAGTACCATCTTACACAACAAACCTTACAAGATAGGGTACATGCCAAATGGTACTCTTTTCACTATTCCCTATATAGTGCACTACTTTTGACCAGAGCCCTATGGACAGATTATTTTGATATTTATGGTATTTTCTGTGCTTTGCACAATTCTTGCACTTAGTAAAATGTGACACTAAGTATCTTCTTACACTAGAAATCTTCTTCCACAACATTAGACTAGATGAGGTCAGAGGTCACTACAGCAGCCTGAATGTAGAAGATGGACGTGATAGTAGACTGGTCAGGTTATCAAGGGGGCCTGCTTTAGACTCCAATACTGTGTCCCAAATGAAACCCTTTTCCAGTGCACTACTTTTGACTTTAGTGCATTTATATACAATGCTATTTGGAGAAGAAAAAAACTAGCAAAAATGAACCTACCCATACCCTCAATGTTCAGGTCCTACTCTACCCAGACCCTCAATGTTCAGGTCCTACACTATCCATACCCTCAATGTTCAGGTCCTACTCTACCCATACCCTCAATGTTCAGGTCCTACTCTACCCAGACCCTCAATGTTCAGGTCCTACACTACCCATACCCTCAATGTTCAGGTCCTACACTACCCAGACCCGATTGCTTCTGACCCAAAGTTTGGGAACCACTGTAGTAACCTCTCTCTGTTTTGGTTCCTCTCTCTCTCTCAGCTTCACCACTGAGTGCCACCTCACTGTCTCAATAGCCTACTCTCTGTAAAGCAACGTTATTATGAGAAGTTAGTAGCCTATTCTCTTGCTCCTGTTGAGGTAACATTAGCTTCTTACTTCATCCTTCTAGCTGGCTAAGTAATTCTACCCGTAGTAAACTAAAATCCACTCCATGGTGAAGGAAGTTCATGATGAACTCCACTACCGACTTTTTGCTTGTTTCTGTTTGTCAAAGATGGCAACGTAGTGCAAAAGCGCATGTGTCAATTGAATCTCCGATGACGTGGGCCTAGGTCTCGAAAACACTCATTGTCCAATCAAATCACACAATCTACAGAGGGTGTGTCGACCAACAACATTTCACAGATCATTTCAGGTTCAAATAAACACTAAATCTGGCATATAACGTTGTTGACTTGGCACATTTTCTGTCCAGAGATACTGAGCAATAACGAGACAGAGAGAAATCATTTTCTAACCTAGGTTTCATTTATAAACCTCATCGGAGATTAAATTGACACAGTTGCCATCTTCGTGACACTGAAATGAGCAAAAAGTCGGTGGTTGTATTTGATTAATGTTTATTGAAAAAGTATGGATGTTACACCTGCTCCAGCGCTTGACGTCGTCGGTCTACTAACCGCTGGTCCTGGCAACCATCATTACACACACCTGGCAACCATCATTACACACACCTGGCAACCATCATTACACACACCTGGCAACCATCATTACACACACCTGGCAACCATCATTACACACACCTGGCAACCATCATTACACACACCTGGCAACCATCATTACACACACCTGGCAACCATCATTACACACACCTGGCAACCATCATTACACACACCTGGCAACCATCATTACACACACCTGGACCTCATCATCACCTTGATTACTCTCCCTTCATATAGCCCTCAGTATCCTCAGTCAACAGGCAGTGTTGGTTTTGTTCAGCTACGTGATTTATATGATTAAACTCACCGTCTGTGTCCTGACTCCCGGTGTTACAATGGATTTCAGCAAACAAAGAAAGGCAAGTAACTAGAGAGGACAAACATGGATACAAGGTAGGCGTTTCATGATGAAACAGTTTTGAAGTAATGACCTTGGGTGAATCGACGCAGTCGGACCTAGATTCCTCTCTATTGAGCCAACTCCGAGCTGGGGTAGTTCGTTTCCACGAGAGGGCAGAGTTAGAGTGGTGAATGGTGGTTCGAGAGAGTGGTGATTATGCTGCTAAAAGTCACATCCGTGCAACAAATCTGGGGGACTCAAACGAACATGACGAACAAACCACTGTTCATGATTCAACTTGTCAGTCAGATCAAAGCTCAGAATGCTTAAATTCTTGATCAACGATGGGAGCAATATTTAGATGTTGACCCATAATAGATTTTCTTTATTTTGGTCCGGACCTCTGTGTCCTCAGATGTAGTTATCAATCAATCAATCAATCAATTTTATTTTATATAGCCCTTCTTACATCAGCTAATATCTCGAAGTGCTGTACAGAGACCCAGCCTACAACCCCAAACAGCTAGTAATGCAGGTGTAGAAGCACGGTGGCTAGGAAAAACTCCCTAGAAAGGCAAAACCTAGGAAGAAACCTAGAGAGGAACCAGGCTATGAGGGGTGGCCAGTCCTCTTCTGGCTGTGCCGGGTGGAGATTATAACAGAACCATGCCAAGATGTTCAAAAATGTTCATAAGTGACAAGCATGGTCAAATAATAATCAGGAATAAATCTCAGTTGGCTTTTCATAGCCGATCATTAGAGTTTAAAACAGCAGGTCTGGGACAGGTAGGGGTTCCATAACCGCAGGCAGAACAGTTTAAACTGGAATAGCAGCAAGGCCAGGCGGACTGGGGACAGCAAGGAGTCACCACGGCCGGTAGTCCCGACGTATGGTCCTAGGGCTCAGGTCTCTCAGTTGGCTTTTCATAGCCGATCATTTAGAGTTGAAAACAGCAGGTCTGGGACAGGTAGGGGTTTCGTAGCCGCAGGCAGAACAGTTGAAACTGGAATAGCAGCAAGGCCAGGCGGACTGGGGGCAGCAGGGTGTCATCATGCCCGGTAGTCCTGACGTATGGTCCTAGGGCTCAGGTTCTCAGAGAGAAAGAGAGAACGAGAGAATTAGAGAGAGCATACTTAAATTCACACAGGACACTGGATAAGACAGGAGAAGTACTCCAGGTATAACCAACTAACCCCAGCCCCCCGACACATAAACTACTGCAGCATAAATACTGGAGGCTGAGACAGGAGCGGTCCGGAGACACTGTGGCCCCATCCGAAGAAACCCCCGGACAGGGCCAAACAGGAAGGATATAACCCCACCCACTCCGCCAAAGCACAGCCCCCGCACCACTAGAGGGATATCCCCAACCACCAACTTA